CCCCACAGTCTTCCTGCCAGTACTCCGGTGCAGGTAGAGGATCAGCTCTACCTTACACATGAGGACCCTGAGACATGGTGATGTTAAGTAGCATCCTCAAGGCCACTCAGGAGCGAGGTGGTAATGCCAGTATTTGAACCAGGCCGTCTGGTCCAGGGCATGTTCCTACCCGCTACAGTGCCCACTGCTATGCTGTCTCTCTGTTTACACATCTCCAAGGATTGAATCGATGCCTGAGAATGATCATCCTCATTGTTATCATTAGCTTTATAGCCAGTGGGGCACAGAAGCCTCTACCTGGTTGATACTTTGTCCTGATTTGCTACATCTTTGATATTAGGGATAATAATGAAAAAATCAAGTAATTTCCTTATTGATTTCTAGTACTTTGATTCAATAAATATTTAGTGAGCATATACTCTGTGCCAGCCATTATACTAGGCCAAGCAAAGAGGGCTGTTGCAGGGTACTTGCTTTCAAAGAACCATAGTCTTAAAAGATAAATAATCTTGAATTTCCAAGGTGGCCCACAAGGCTGTCTGAGATGGGCCCTGCCTTCTCTTCAGTCTCATTGCTTTGCATTCCTTGCCTTTGTGTCCTTTTGTTTGTTGAGCTTCCTACCACCTCAGAGCCTTTGCACCTTCTGTTCCATCAGCCTGAACTACTCCCCACCATTGCCCAGTTAACTCCTCATCCTTCAGGTCTCATCTGAAACCGCTCCTTCTCTTCAGGGGATTCTCTCACAGTCCTAAAGATTACGTCAAATTCCCCGTCGCAGCTCTCATAGCTCCTTCTGCCTTAAATTTTTGTAATTATTTGATTTCTTCACCAGCTCCTAAAGGGCTTATATAATACTTTTGTGGTTACCCATCGTACTCCCAGCACACAATCGTTGCCTACTAAATACTCTGAAGGGAACAAAGATTATAGGCAATGTATTAGAGCAAAAAACTGGGATGTGCTAATAGTCCTCCAAGAATCAGACATCAACACAGGATTAACTGTGCCAAGATTTTGTTCGGGGGAAGCCATTTGGGGGAAAAAATCGGGAGAGGGGAGTCATCAGAGTGTGATGCAAGTCTAATCCTGGAGTGAAGAAGGGAAGACAGGAAGGTGGGGAGCATCATCACATGCATCTTGGCGCAGCCTAGGGAAAGTTCCAGAGGCCAGCCAGCCAAAGCTGAACCCTGGAGGAGTGCGGGTCTCCCAGGAGCAGCATCCCAAACCCCGCCACCTTCCCTGATTGGCTGGGAGCGCCGTGGGAGGCGTGGCCTGGCTGCGGGCGAGGCCTCCGGGGGCAGCTGGGGGCACTCCTCCTGTGGCTTCCTGCCCCGCCCAGGGCCAAGTCTGAGGGGCTCTTTCTCCCAGGGGCCAAGTGGCAGTTGCGAGGTGAGAGGGGATGACATCTGGTTGATAGGGAGGACGGAGATGACCAAAGGTATGGCTTCCACAAAAGGGCAGGAAGCCTTGGTTTTGAGGCTCAGCAAGTCTTTATTGGACACACACTATTCTCTGGCACTGAGGAAGATACAACAGGATTGGCTGTACCTGGGGCTTCCTCAGAAAGACTTAAGCTAGTTAAGAGACAAAGTCAACTCACACACATGCTCCTGAACCTTAGCTTTCTCGCTTCTAAAAGGATGATGACTGTGTCTACCTGGTGTGAGGTGTGACAGGTAGATCCAGTGGCTTCCATGAGTAGGGTAGGTGATCCACAAATAAGATTTGAATGAATTTAAATAATAAAGATTCCTTGTCTTCCTCAGTTTTTCAGCTTTTCTAGACATTTGCACAGGGCTGAGAGTTTTCAAAGAAACTTTTGACTGGGGATGCCTGCTTTCCTTGTAATCACTCATCAACAGTCCCCTGAGGCTTTTTCTTTAACAACATTTCAAGTAGAGGAACCGCAGTTTAAATATGTGATCAGCAACAGCACCAAGGGAAGATTTAGTGTTGAGTTACTACATTGAAGGAATCTCTGGGAAAAGGCTCCCTGGTGTGTGCTTGGCCCAGTGAGCTCACTCCGGGGTTGGTTTCTTAACTCTTAACCCCAAGGCAGTGTTGAGTTTGTTCTCTGTTACAGGAGAGTCATTGGGACGTTGCTTAATCAGATTCTTTCCATAGGTGAAGGCTGTGGATCCCTGAGGGAACTGGAGATGTGGGATGAAGTGGACCTCCTCCCTTTCCTCACCGGAAAGTAAGGGGGTGGTCTGCCTTTGCCTTTCCCCACCTGCAACACCCTTATATATTCCTCTTCCAATACATTTCCCCTTCAATGCTGCCCTCCCCCCCCCCTCAATTAATCTTATTTTGGTTCCACTTGTTGAACTGGCCTATTCTTTCTAGGAATTGGTTTTAATCCACAACTATTTCCTGAGCAACTAAGTAGTCGATGAAGATATCATGTCTCAGTATTCTCATATATATAATGAGGGAAATAGACTGGCAAAGGCATAAGATGTATATATGAAATGTGAACTACTCTAAAAAAAAGTATCATGGGGATGAAGAAGAAACAGGTTTTCTGGGTGAGGAGGCAGCATTTGATCCGGGACTCAGGGTTAATCACTGAGAAAGGGGTGAAGTAGCATGAACAACAGCAAGGTGTGTTTGCCATGCTCCAGGGAGACAAGTAATTTGTAATGGCTGGAAGATAGGAAGGGATCCAAGGACAGATGAGAAGAAAAAAGTGGAGTGGTGGGTATGCTATGGCAGTCCTTGAAAAACCTGTTTAGAAACATCATAGATCAAGGAGAGCATTGACGTTTTAGAAGCAGGGGGCAAACTTTGGACTATTTAGGAAAAAAAGTCTAGGTGAAGGATTAAAATAAGGCAGAGCAATACAGTAATTTTGGTGAGAGAGAATCATTTCCATAGAAATGAAAATAAGAGGGCAGGTTGGAGAGATAGAATGATTCAGGAGTAGAGAAGAAGGCTGTGAAGGTTTCAAGTTCAAGGTTTCAAGCCCATGTATACTGGGGTCAGGGGTGGGGGAGGATGCCACTGAGAAGAGGAACTGAGGAGGAAGTGTCTGCTAGGCTGGGAATGGGGGTCTTCACAACAGATCATGTTGCATTTGAGGGGCTGGCAGGATATCTGTCTAGATATGATCCTGGAAATTCAGATGTGGAGCTCAAGAATGTAGTGAGGGCTGAAGATGAAGACTTGGGAGTTGTCATCACAGGGGTAGTAGTTGGAATAGCAAATTGTTTCACTTCCTCAGTCACCTAAAGAAAGGCCTGGGTTTCCAGTTGCGTGGGTGAGGGCAGGTGGAGGATGTTTTCTGGTGCCTTGATGGCTAGTCCTGATCCCCCCAACACAGTCCTTGGATCTTTGAGATTCCAAGAAAGGAGTACATTAGTCTTATCCTCCTTCACTTAGCACAGTTTTGCCTCTTCTCCCTCAGTTGTCCAGCTTCTAATTCTGCAAACAACAGCTGGAGAGGGTGAGTGAGGGCCAACCTAGCAGCTGTGTGTTGGGAATCAAGAAGGCATCCAGGATGAAGATACTGTCTGGCTACAGCTGCTGCCAAGATGAGTGTGTGTGTGTGTGAGAGAGAGAGAGACAGAGACAGAGAGGGAGGGAAGGGGAGATAGGGAAGGGAGAGAGAGACAGACATAGATAGATAGATAGATAGATAGATAGATAGATAGATAGATAGATAGATAGTTACGGGTGGTACTCATATACTCATAGCAGGGAGTGGGTAAAAATTGCCAGCTAACTTTCTGAGATGATTTCATTTCATCTCTTATTCCAAATCCTGGTGATTAGAAAATTAGAAATCAACTTTTCTGGATCCTCCAATTGCTAGTGACCGTGCTTTGCACGCATACCCTGGCCACGTTGGCAGCAGAGTATTCTCAAACACTCTGGGGTTGGCTGGAGGCTACTTCCAGGCTGGTGCCTCAAGGAGAAGCACAGGGATCTAGAAATATGTGAAAAGATTGAAAGTTCAAGAAAAGGCTGTTGTTCCCAATCCCAGATGAAGAGAGGCCTCTTCCTGGAAAGTGATTAGGGATTTGGGTGTGTGGTTTTGTTCCTGGCCAAACATAAGTCTTGAGCTGGGTAATCTGTTTCTAATCATAATTTGGATTACCCTTCACACTAACCAAATGTTTGTTTGTCTGAGGAGGCCAATCTTCAGGCCCCAGAGAGGCACGACAAACCTCTGCTGAAGAGCCGGGAAACTCCCAGCTAGTAGGCTCATTCTGAGGCTGGCAGGCAACGACTGCTGCCTCTTTGTGCTGGAAAGGGCTGGAAGTTACTGTTCACAGTATCTGGGCTTCACCAGCCTGGAGCTGTCCCCTTTGGTCACTGATGATATACTCCTTTCAGAAATGGCAAGGAGCTGCCCCTCAGGCCAGGCTGAGCCACTGGAGCCATGTCAGGTTTGGAGGTGGGGCTCCTAGAAGGAAGCCACGGTGAATATTGAGACATCAACAGTTCCCAGGTTTCTCCCAGGTCTTATTTTGACGGGTAGGAGAGAAACCAAAGGGCTAAGCACATTTCATTGATTTTTGAAAGTAGCCAACTTTTAAGAACTGTTTCACCCAATTTGGAGAAACACTGTTCTTTAGGAAGGAAGTACTGCACTTCAGGACTATAAAATGAGCTAGGAGATGAGACAAGGGTGGTTTTGCTAAGTCAGGGTATGGGTGGCTTCGAGAAGATGAATGAATAAAAGGAGGCAGGCAATTTCACAGATGAAAATGGATTCCATTTCATTCATGATGTGTAGGAAAACTACATCATTATTAACACTTATGGTATACAGATGACATGGGTGCCACCCCTGCTGTGAGCACAGGACAGGATGTGAAGAATTCCACTGCTGTGTCACTGTTAAAAAATCTCTCTCCTCCTCTCTCTTCCTCTGGCTCCCTCTCTCCCTGCACGTGCATACGTGTGTGTGGGTGTGTGCATATGTTGTTTCAAAAGAAATGTTGGTAGCTGTTTAGAGAGCAAGACATATAATTGTTGTGTTTCTCTTTTCAGGTCTTAGGAGGAAATACCTAAGAAGAGGTAATTAATTACTATCTGAAAAGTGCTTTGAGATCCTCTGAAGAAAGGTAATTAGATGTATGAGACGTGATTCCTGGATGTGTGATTACACGTGATTATCTGTTAGATTGGTGCTAGGTACTTCAAATGCATTCCTCTCCTGCATCTCCAAACAGGCACGTATGTGCTGGGAAGGGAGGAGAGGAGAGCTAGAAGGAAGAGGAGATATTAGAGCAAAGACTAATATGTCATGTGACCCAAGAGGAAGACAGCCTGGGGTCCCGGGTCTTTCCAGAAGATGCACATCTAAGAATGGAACCAGGGCCTTCCCTTGCTCCCCAGGGGAGCCTGCCCACCCACCCCCTTACAATCCCAACTTTGTTGACTTTTAGGGTGGTCTCTTTGCTCAATTTTCACCAGAGGAGTCACTGACTGCTGTGGCAGCACAGGGGAGACCACCTTCAATTTTCCAAGAGAGCTAGAGGATTGTTTTCTGAGTAATTGTTATGCGGGTAATAATCACTGATCATTAAAATCTTTTTTATTCTCTGCACTTATGGAGCTGCTTTTCTTAGAAGCCCTATATATATTTTTTTCCAACCAAATCTTATTTTGAGAGGAAGGTGCTCTAATATCCAGTATTTATCCAGAGTGAGGCCATTTGTCAGAGTGTCAGCAGTCTCTGACCTCAGGGGCCTAGAGGCAGTGCCTGTGCTGGTTAGACCTTGGATCCTGAGCCGGCTTGAACGCTGGATCAAGTCACAGGATTTGAAGCAAGTTATTCTACCCCTCAGGGTGGTAGTTTCTTGATTTGTGAAATTGGATAGGAAAATCTACGTCTTTGAATTATTGTGAGCATTCGAAGAGTAATTGTATCTCACGCTTGTAATAGGGCCTCGTAGGTTGGAAGCGCCAAATAAGTGTTTGCTGCTGCTGCTGCCACTGCCTATGAGAAACTAGAGGCTCATTTAGAGCAAATATTATGACTGTTATTGTCATCATTATTAAAGTACTCCTAAAGAAACGAAGGTGGATTTCAAGCTAAATGCTCAAGTAGCTAAAATTATGTTTGCCATTCTTCCACTCCTATTCTTAGTCTCTCCCTTTTTTGTTTTGGATTTTCCCAATTTCTGACACATTACCATGGTTTCAGGTTTTTGAGATATATTAAATATATCCGTCTCCTATGAGCATAAGCTACTTAGGTACAGATACCTACAAGGATGGATTCACACTTTCATGGACACTGAAAGCTTGATGCTTTTCTGAAAAACAAAGTAATAAACCTTATAGACCTCTAGAACTTTGAAGCTGGACTTCAGAAACCATCCAGTTCAAACCCAGGGCAGGCAAATGATTCACCCTTGGAGACAGGTGTAGCTGGTTAATGGGAGAATGGGATTAGAGCCTTGGGTTAAGATGGACAATTAAGTACGATGAACATGTGAAACATGGTATGACTCCTTGTAAAGCTGCTTCTACTGAACTACACTGTGGCAATATGCCATTGGTTTCCAAAAAAGAATATTATGATTGCCTAATAAGTGCTATTTTGTGCACTAAAGGAAATGTAGATGAGGATGTTATCCTGATACTCTTTATGAAAACACTTGTGTGACCACATCTTTCAGTTCTAAGTACTGAGTAACAGCTGGCACTTCTGGAACAACTGTGTTTTCTGTCTGATGAATGTCATGAACTTTTTAGGCGATCATTGATCATTTGATTAATGCTTTTTGCATTGGCTACTAGGAAGCTCAAGGCCAAGTTTACATGCTACCTCTGTGAATCAAAGCTGATTGCTACTACAAATTACAGATGTTCACTATAGCTGAAAACTTCAGAGTCACTTTTTTCTTTTTCATCTGCACTCCTGTTTGGTTGTAGACTTTAACCCCTCCCCCTTCCTGCCTTGATAAAGGCTTACATAATGGGGTGATGCAACTTCATGGTGTATCTTGAGTGGGTTGTGCAACTAGGTTTATTCCTCAAGTACCCAGCACATGTAGAACCCACAGTGTTCATTTCACAGGCACCTTTGCCTTTAAGATCCCTTCCTCTCCACTCTCCATTAAAACTCAACAAACAAAAACCAGCAAGGACCTCAAACACCAGCCACATGTGTATTACTTGGGTGGGAGCCTGGGACTTGCCTCAGACAACACATACAGCTTATGGGGTTGCTCCATCCCTTTGACCTGTGACCTGGACCCAAGGGGAAATTTCGCAAGGCAAAAATCACTGTCAGAGAGAAGAGATAGGCTGCAGGGAGAAAGGACAGCCTCTTCCGGTCAGGTCCTTGCTTGACCTCCAGTTCCTTCAGTGGCCAACCTGACATGTCACCATACCTCCGGTGGCTCTCATTGCCTTTTCTTTGTGTATGACTGTGGAAGGTATGCAGTTCTGTTACTTCCCTGGTCTGCTTGTCTCCCTGATTTTCTTTCTGTGCTTTTCTCCATGTCTGACAATACCTACTATATATGTCAGGTATCATGTCACAAAAATGCATATGTTCCTGTCCTTGCCCTTGAGGAGCTCACAGTGTAGAAGAACAGATGGGGCACTGGAACCAATTTCCATTCAATGTGACAAAGACTCTAAAAGAGCCATGTATAATGACCAGGGAGGCAGTAATGGAGGTGACATTTGAGTCAAGTCTTAGAGGATGTGTTGGACACTGATTTTTCCATTAATAGAATTACTTTTTCTGGTTAATGGCAACCAGACTGCTAGAAGGGGTGGTATAAACCAATAACTTGTTTGGGATTAAATGAGGAGACTGACAGAAACTATTAACTGAAGGCTAGACTCTTATTTCAAGCAATTTCACTGAATGTTCAGACCTTCATCATTTCAGTGATCAGAGGACAAGACCATCTAGAAAGTGGACTCTCTAGAACTCACTCTCAAGCTTTCTCGATGTAAAAATGTTCTAGGGATAGTCTTTGATTTTGGAAATTCCTAGAATTAGCTTTGCTTTATGTTCAATAATGCTTCATTTCCCAGTCTCATGGCAGACAGAAAATAAATGGCATGTTTAAATTGCTGTGTGGATGAAAATAAAGCTCATTACTGAAGCACTGGTTTTAATTTAAATTTCAGAAGAAATTTTACAAAGTGCCAGAACATGTGGGGTGAGCTGGCTCCTTGAGTTTGCTGTTCCTAAGCTGACACTGAAAGGTGGTTAGCAGACCTAACACTGGGCAGAATTTTGTGGATTTTTTTTTCAAGTTACTTTTATGAGGCAAAACCATGGTGTCAACCGTGACGTTATATCCATTGCCTCTCTGTCTGTACGAATAGTTCTCTAATGTTAATGGAAAATCTTGCTTTTTAGCAAATCCTCTTTTTCTTTAGACTTAGCACTTCAAATCTTCCCTTTCTACCTTCCCAAAATTTAGTTTAGTAATGATTTTTGACTCTTTATGTTTATTATATCTAGACCTGATAGTATCTTCATCTTCTGTTCTATTGGGGTTGAGGCTGTATGCATCTTGATGGTTTTCCAGACCCCAAACTTAAATAGGACCCTTCACCACCAAAACCATGGGGTCAGCCTAGCATTTGAAAGCAGAGCTTATGTTCCAGTGTCTAGTTTGAAACTTAGGATCTTCTACTTCCAGACTTGAGAGTTTTGCTCCCCACTATCTCTCATCATACACTCCCTCATGGTATTTTAATATGTATGTGTGACTCCTACCAGCCCTCAAACTCATTAAGAACAAGGAATGTGTTTTATTTGTCTTTGTATTCCATAGTTCATTACATAAAGGAAGTGCTTAAGAAACATTTGTTAAACATATATGTTTATCCTAAAAGTTCATAAATTGGACAGTCAGATGTAGCTTTCCCTGTGCAGGATGTGAAAACAAGAAAGTATGTGTACAAGTCTCAGAACTTGACTTCTCATAATAATTCTTTTTGAAAAGAGGGCAGATTGGGGAATCTTCTCATAAATTAAATGTGAATTCCTCCCCAGTGTAATCCAAGAATCCTGATTTACTTTGTGCTCAAATGGGACATTCTACTCTAGGATCTTGCATTTGTGGGTCAGATACTCTCTCAGGAAAGATGATATCTGGACTGAAAGTAAAGAATCTTGCCCTCTGTGGAAGGCCAAGACAAAGTTGCTTCAGTATTTCTTGTCTAAAATCCTAATAACACAGTTACCGGCTACTGGGCATCTACTCTGTGTCAGGTATTTACAGGTAAATGGTTTCATTTAATCCTCACAAGGATTTCAAGGCAGAGAGAGGAAAAGGCTTCCTTGGGGTCACACAAGTAAAAGGTATGTAAAGATAACCAAGGAACAAGCCTCCCCCAAACTTGGCATTCTTCAGCGCTCCCTGTCTCAGTGAATGACAATTTTAGCATCCACTTCCTCCAGTGAAGAATCCTCCCTCTATGTCCAACTTTTGAGTCCTGCTGATGTAACATCTACCCATCTGTAGACACCCTGCATGGCTTCCATTTCAGGCCCAGCCACCATCTGCTCTCCACGCACAGTTCAGTAGCCACCTCAGGAGTCTACCTTGCCCTCCTCAAATCTATCTGCCACACCAAAGCTTGAGTGGTCTTCTCAAAACCCATGTATAATCATGTAGTTTTCTTGAATAAAAATCCTCCACTGGGACCCCTGGGTGGCTCAGTTGTTGAGCATCTGCCTTTGGCTCAGGCTGTGATCACAGGGTCCCAGTATCGAATCTTGCATCATGCTCCCCAGCAGGGAGCCTAACTTCTCTGTCTGCCTGATCTCTGCCTCTCTCTCTGTGTCTCTCATAATAATAATTTATTATTTTATAATTATATTATTAATAATATAATTATTATATATTATTTATATTTATATATTTATGTATTATATTATATTATATATAATAATTAAATCTTTAAAATAAAATAAAATAAAATAAAATAAAAATCCTCCACTGATGTTTCTATTCTTTTTTAGAGTAAAAACCAAAGTCCTTAACCAGGTCCACCATGCCCTGCCTGGTTTGGCTCCAGATGACTGTTCAGTCTCTTCTCATTTTCTGGGCTTCCACCATTCCAGCTATTCTTTCAGCCT